TTTTTTTTATTTGCAAGGTTTGGCTTACTTTTTGCTTTAAAAAAATCTCTTTCTTTAAAACATAGCTTAATACTGAAATATTATTTCCCATAGGATTGCTTGTCTTTGGTGATGATAAAGATGGATCCAGACATATCACTTTGAGAACTCGCTTTATCCTGATAAAGGATGGTGGAGCGCTTCATATTGGAGCACAGAACTGTCGCTATAAATCCAAAGCAACTATAATCTTGTATGGCAAATCAGATGAAGGTGATCATGTGCCAACATTTGGCAAAAAGTTTATTGGTGTTGGCTCTGATGGAACACTGGAATTGCATGGGACTCAGAAGTTATCGTGGACTTTGCTGTCAAAGACTATGTATTCCTCAGGGCTGGCCTCTGGTTCTTATGCATTTGAAAGGAATTTTTCCCGAGGGCTAAATGTGAGAGTGATTGACCAGGACACAGCACAAGTTTTGGTTGTTGATAAGTTTGATACCCATGAATATCAAAACGAAAGCAGGAGACTTCAGGATTTTTTAAAAGGTCAGGATCCTGGCCGCATTGTTGCTATTGCTGTGGGAGATTCAGCTGCTAAAAATCTCCTGGATGAAACCAGATTCACTATTCAAAATCTTCTGGGAAGTAAGCTTGTCAAAGGATTGAGTTACAGGTAAATCATTTTCTTTCCACTTCAAATCCACTTATTCTCTCTAGATGTAGATATCCTGTGAACAGGGATTTGTAAAACCTTAAGGAAGTATGCTATTTTTTTTCACAATCTAATGCTGTTCACTCTAGGTCTGTCCTCCAAAGCTCGGCACACTGATACGGTATGCAAATGTCTTATTTACGGATAATCCCTTGCAGAAGTATTGAAGAGGATTAATTAGTACATTATTTAACAGTGTAAAGGCCTGTAAGTGCTTATTATAACACTTATAGCTGTATATATAGTGAATTTTAACACTTACTCTAGTGCACCAATCTTCATAACATTTTTTAATATAATAGTATGACTTGTGCTTATTTTTAGAATTTGTCTTTCTTTTAAGTGCACAAATCAAAAGCAGGTGTTGGCATCTGATGCATGTTCCTAACACCTCTGGGGTAAGAAGTGACAAATCAGAAACCATTCAAAAAAGGGGCCCTAATCAGACCAAACAAACTTAACTTCGTCCCTGCCCCCACAGAAAAGAAAGAGAGTAAAAAGTGATACAGACAGCTGCTGCATTCTTCTGTTGTCAACACTTTTCTCTGGCAATTAATAAGAAACCAATATTTTGACACTGCATCTGCTAGGCATCTCAACTTCTCCTTCATAATGTGGTCTCTACAGATCACAATCCCATTCCCGACCACCTGGTCGTGGAACCCATTTGAAAGTGTGTTGTAGCCTATTAGGGAGTGTGCATTCGACAACCAAGCATATAAAATCTCTGAGTCGCCAGCTGTGTCTGTTCCTCTTTTTTTCTGCTAGCTTGAGTGGAACCCAATCTTCAGCTTGCACTGGGATTTGTCAGAATAATATTATTGTTAAAATATTTATCTAATAGTAAGTCAATAGTGTGTCTTTGGTTTTGTGTCTTCGTGCCCCCTCTCCCTCCCACCATCACCTCCCCATATTCAGACTTGGACTATTATGCTCCCTCTGCTTCAGCAGTTCAGGAAAAACGTCAGGGTTCCAACTTCTTGCCTTGACAAAATACCGTTTAGTGTTTGTTGTCCTAGAAAAATCCTTGTGACTTGGGTGCCTTTTAAAGGGCTTTCCAGCAAGAAAGAATCCTCTGAGCCATCAGAGAAGGATCTAGTCACCTGGGACTGGGAGGCTTTCCTAAGTCTGGATTCTAGCCTCAGAAGTTTTTATAGGAACAGCAAATGTGGGGGCAGTAGAGCATACCATAATATGCACCAGTCCCCGGAATACAGTAAAGACTCAGTCAAAGGTTGGTTGTGCCCTTGTGGAGACAGACACCCTGGATCCTACATCTCTTCCTGTGAGCATGAAGTGATTGGAGAAGGACCCCTCGGATTCAAGGTGCCCAGATCTGTCCCGTAACCTCCTGGGATGGGTGTGCAGGAGGGGGGAGGGTTGTACCTCCTCATTTGTATCAGCATTTGTTCAGCTGAAATTGAGAGATTCCCTATCTCATGTGCTGGGAAGGAGCAGGAGGCTTTTTCCCCCCCATTCCTCCCATTGTTGATTCCTGGCTGCTTTCACAGGTAGGCTGAGACTCCCTTCTTCTTAATAGCATTCTGTTTCCCATTGTCCCAGCAGCAGTCCTATGTCTCTTCTGCTGGCCACTCGCAAGTAATAGTCACTCATGTCAGTTTAAAAAAAAAAATGCAAAGGTAAGATGACTTCCCTCCCACCCAAAATAAGAGATCTTCAGTCTGACAGTATCTCTTTGAATGTTCTTTCTGTCTAATGCTTATTTTGACTTCATGGATAGTGAGGCTATAGAAAGACATGTTCAGTGTAACATTCTTGCATCATTGTGATTAGACTAGAATACAGCAATTATGGGATTTAACCTATAAAAATACTTGTTTTAAAAAAAAAACGTCTATGCTTATGAATAAACTAGTGTCTGGGTTGAAGGTTTTAATTTTTGCCTTTAATTGGTGAATGATTGGTCATCCAGCAAGCTGACTGGCTGCCACAAATTCTGTTTGGTATAATAGGGTATTTATTTTTTATCAGAATTAGATTTTAATCGCCTAATCCTTAGTCCTAGGAATAAGGATTGCTGACTTAGTGATGTGACCATGCTTGATTTGAATCTCAGAGCTACAATAGGATTTTTGTCTCAAACCGATGATTGAGAGTGCTAACTATGCAAGTAATAAACATAGCACAGAACAGTGAATGCTTATTAAAAATATTACCCCTTTTTAATAGGTTTGCTGTGTACAACATCATACTCCAATTTCAATAGCTTGCAATGCTCTTTTTAAAAAAAAATTACTGGAAAGTTTGATTCAGGTGGCTGTATGATTGGAGTACATAGAGGTGTAGTAAGGAAGAGAGGAATCTCAAAATATTGTGCTTATAAATTCCAATAAGTCAAACCCCAGTTCTGATTAAAGGGCAGAACACATGAAGAAAGGCAGGGGTTAATGATGAAGGAAAGCACATTATATGAGAGAATATGTAGTGAAAGTGGTGAAGTAGAGCATGGAAGTCTGGGCTTCTGTTTCAGTCTCCTGTTTGACTCACTATGTGGTCTTGGTCAAATCATTCAGGGGGTGTTCAATGTAAAGTGTATGTACTGTATATGTATACATTTAGCTAAAAACTTCCCACACTGTTAATATTGCAAGTTCAGCTTCAACAGTGGATTTGGCACTATAGACAGGTCTCCAGGCTGGTTAGAGCAGGTTTGTCTGAAAGTCTTAACTGCTATCAGTGCCTACTCTACTCTAGCACTACCATAGTGGGAAACTTTTTAGCAAGTATTCTTTAGCGTAGACAAGGTCTGAATCTCTCTGTACTTTGTTTTATGCACAAAACAACACTTGTTACATAATCTTGTGGTTTGTAAAATACTTTGAGGTCACTGGACAAAGTATTAACAATATTTCCTGAAGTCTGGAATCTTTAAAAAATAATAATAATAAAAATAAAGAAGAGAAAGAGGCCGGGGCAGTAGAAATGAGTGGTGAGCATTTTCCAGCCTGCATATGGGAACAACCAAATATTTTCAACAATTATCTCTTGCATGAGGAGGTCCCATTGTTCTATTGCATTTTGGAATTATATTTGTAAAGAGTTTTGGAAAAGAGGCAAAAGAATAAATGTTTGAATAAGTGTAGTATGATTGTTGTATACAGTGTCTATTTGCAAAGCATTTAATTTAAGGGGATTTTGTGTTTAAACATTTACTTCATTTTTTTGCAGGCAAGCCTGGGCTTTAGTTGGTGTTATAGGTGGTGGAAATTCCTCCTGTAATGAATCTGTGAGAGACTATGAAAATCATAGCACTGGGGGAAAAGCTCTTGCTCAAAGAGAATTTTTCACAGTGGATGGTCAGAAGTTTGCTGTGAGAACTTTTAGTGAATGGAATGAAGGTAGGAAAGTTTATTTGTGTATATTTGTTTTTTCCCTAAAAGCTTCATAGGCAAAATTGTTTTAAAAAACAATTTGTATGGTTTATTTTCTAGAACAGTTTTTATTAATGCAAGTTAACTTCCTAATTACTGCAATTATTTTTGTCTGTTTACCATTAATGTTGCCTAACTTTTGGATGAAATCCAAATCCAAATAGAGGGGAAGGTATCAAAAATGAAAGCTTTAAAATGTAAATCTCCTTGTCTGCTTCAGTGCTGTGAGCATCCAACATACCATCAAGGGGACACAGGGAACTGTATCCTTAGAAATACTAAAACCTAAAATCAACTACTGCAGGCTGGAGATCTGACAGGCTTGTGGGTTTTTATATATCTTTTCCATATTTGCCTTTTTAGTTTCTTATCTTTAGTCCTATTAGAATATTGTGTTAATTGCTGTTGCTTGTGATGTTTGGAGGATTCTTAAGCGTGGCTGATTTTATTTTTCACAAAAGGGTCTCTGATTAGTTGGATTATTCTGACATGCATACTTCTGACAGTCTTTTGGTCTGGTAGTAGGCAGTATCTGAACACAAGAATATTTTTGGTGGTGTTGAATCCTTAACTGCTTTTCTTATTCTTAGTTCCATGGTCTTGGTGCTGATTAGAAAAAGGAAATTGCTTCTGAGGTCAAATTCCTTGGCAATAAATGTTATTGGTACTAGGAGTTCACTTTCATCTTTTATGATGCTAAAGCTCAATCTTATCATTTATTTCTTTTAGAAAACAAAAATGGTTGCAGGCCACTGAGTCTGGTGGCTGTTTGCAGCCTACTTTTGATCAGGAAAATCTGCACCAAGGCCTGTGACCTATAAATATCCGCAAGTCCCCTTGTACATTGTGAGGGCATTGTAGGATCCCCATTAAATGTATGGCTGTGCCTTGATGTAGCATCTTTGTCATGGGTAGTAAAGGCCTTTGTGTTCACCACAAAGCCAAGGAATATCTGTCTCTGGGTATGTCCTCACCGCCCACGTTACATCGCGGCCGCAGCAGCTGGGGGAGCGTTCTCCAGTGATTTTAAAAAATAACCACATCTAACGAGGGGGTGGTTGACTCCTAGTGATAAAGCACTGTCTATATTTGCGTTTTTCAGTGCTAAAACTTTTGTCGCTCGGGGGGGTGTCTTTTCACACCCCCAAACAACTAAAGTTTTATCGCTGAAAGTGGCAGTGTAGACACAGCCTAAGTCTCTATGCTGGAGCTCTGATAGATTTTCAGATTTACAAAACTCTCCTCTTAATCAGTGGCTCAGTACAGTCACATTCGTCTGTTTGCAATTTGGTCTTTAAAATGGATATGTATAAGAATAATATTCTTGGACTAATTATCAGACTGCAGGGATACCCATGCAGATAAGGTCTACCAGACTTATGAGATAGATATGCTTGGGGGATTAGTAGTTTTTCAAGGTCAGGGATACCCTAACTGGTCATGTTAGTGTTTATGATGCTGTTCTTCAGCTGATTATCCAGGATGTATGCCATGAAAGGTCTATTTCCCAGTAAGCTTTTGTTATTGTCTGAGTTTGCATTCCTCTGGGATCCTCCCTACTCCAGTTCCATAAATATATGGAACTGTTAATTTCCTAAGAATGGTTTCTCTTAAATTGTCCAAGAAGTTATGGAAATCCAGACTCTCCTTGTCTGGTCATATTTTGGGGGTCACTAAACTCCCACTTCACCACACTTTCTCTTCCAGAGTCCTGCTTACTTTTTTTAAACATCACCTGTCTGCCAGGCAGTTCACTTGCCTGGCAGCTTCCAGAAAACTAATTTAGTTTCTAGCATCATACGTTTGAGAACAACTGAATTCATTTATCACTTTTAAAGTGAAGGAGTTTCACATCTTTTTCAGTCTAAGATCTAAATTTAAAAATACCAGTAGTTCTTTTTATGAAGTTTTCCCTCACTGAGAGGACTACTGCGTATCTTTTATTCTTTTTGAGATTATACTCTTGTGGGTGGTGGGCAAGGTAGGTGAAGGGAATTAACAGTTTGCTTTCATAATGACCAAAATATTGGTTCTGAATTGCTTAAAGTCTCTCTGAAAAGTGGCTATGGAAAAATGGCACCATCTGTTGAATATGTATATTGAGTTGTATCTGCCCACTTTAGTGACAAGTATGTTTGGCTTTTTTATTTGTTCGCCATACTGGCTCTGTACTGCTAAGTGAGATAGAGCTGTATTCTAATATAATATATGGAGATGTACCTATCTCCTAGAACTGGAAGGGACCCCGAAAGGTCATCGAGTCCAGCCCCCTGCCTTCACTAGCAGGACCAAGTACTGATTTTTGCCCCAGATCTTTGCCCCTCTTTCTGCACATGTATCAACAGAATTAATTTGAGACCCTGTATCTGTGCAAACCCAGTGAAGGGTGTGTAGTTGTACAAGTGACCCTTGGCTTGCCAAGTCTTTCTTCTGGTGGTGGTGGTGCATAAGGAAAGTATCCAGCTTTGTTCTCCGATCCCAGGTTTTACACACAAGTTTTTCTGCCTTTCAGCCTATCATTTCTACTGGTAAAATGAGATCATTACATCTGAATCAGACTCGCCAAACATGAAGCCCTCAAGGCCATTTTACATAATCCCTTTTCAGAGCAGTACCATTCTAGAAGGCTTCTTACATTTTGGAAAATGTTAGTTAAATATCTGAGTTCCTTATTAGTTAAAATAACTAAGTATTTGTAAAGTAGATGACATTTGAAATTATAGCTTTATATATTGCTGCATGCATCGTTTTTCCTTTTTAGGTGTCCCACGTTCAGGTTTCCAGGTAGAGGCTATAGATGGAGTGATACTAGATCTGTTGGAGGATGTTAGTAAGTGGGAGCCTGAAGACCAGATTGTAGTTGCAAGCACCGACTATTCAATGTATCAAGCAGAGGAATTCACTCTCCTTCCCTGTCCAGAGTGTAGCAGATATCAGGTCAAAGTCAAAGGTAGGAGACTGATGAAAATGTAAGGTACGTACAGTGTGACTCTGTAGAGGGGTGAAAACTTTATGTACTAATTAGGATAATGCCCTGAAATGGCCTCTTATACTGGGAACAGTAAACTCTTCCCAGTGACAGGCTCAGACCATTCATCCATCTCTCCCTCCCCTCCCAGACTTTCCCCAGCTATATGCGAGAAGTACATTTCATTCTTTTAGTATATAGTTGTCATGATTTGTGACAATGTTAACTTCACACTCACGAACACTCCAGTTTGCCTCTTTTTTCCTTTTTCCTCTTTACTTTTCTCAGTGGATATTTCAGAAACACTCTGATCCTAAAAATAACTTCTCATTTGGTTCTATCTCCCCACCTTTGCTCCCTGAGTTGTTGTGATTTTCAATTCCTTTGCTTCTAGTGTCTTTGTTAGCTCTTTAAATGTGCCATGATATATCCTCTTTTTTTTTTTTATTTTTTAAAACCTTCCTTTGACTCTGATTTTCTCTTTGTAAATTTTTTCTTTTTTCAGCAAAATATTTATGCCAGTGACTCATCTCAGATCTCTTCTCACGCAGTGGATCTCTGACTGGTTGCAAATTGTCTTTGTTCTGGACATAACACAGAAATGTCTCTCCTATATGTAGTTGACTATTTCTTTTTTTACTGCCTAAAACTCCATTCTGTTTGACTTCACTGTAGTGCCGAGATGACTTGTGCTTGCTGCAAGTGCGGGGTGGGGCACAATTAAAAGTGCCCTTCCCAACAGCTTGCATCATGCCCCTGCCTACACGTCCCCCTCTCTTACTCTCAGCAGCCCCTCAGTTCCCAGCTGTGTGCTGCTGCTTCTCCTCACAGCAACAGTACAGCTCCCAGTTTGCCAGCTCTAGCTGTTGCCGTGCAGGGCGGGGCCACGGCTGCACAATGTGACCAAGCAGGGCCAGCAAACTCTGGCAAAAATTGGGCAGGGGGAACATGGACCCCACCTCCACCCCCCATTTTGCCTCTGCAGCCCACTCCATCCTCTGAGACTACTGTATGGGCATCTCTGGTTTTCTTATATTCTGTGCCCCCCCCCCCTTCAAGCCAAAACTTTTCCTCTGTGGAGGGGCGTGCAAGTCTCAAATCTTGAGCTTTCATCCTCTTCATCTCATGGCTTTACCCTTAGCTATCACTTTTAACATTGATCAACTCACCATATAATTTGACACCTAAGGATACCTCTGTCTGTCCTATTGGCCTCTCAGATTTATGACTTTGCCTTGGACAATATGAGCACCTTCAAACACAACTCTTATCTCCCCTCTTTCTCTTTTAGACTCGAACTCTTATTTGTTTCCACTGCTTGTAATCATAATATCATCCTTACTTCCTGAATTTTCGTCTTTCTCCTCTGATTGCAACTCTGTTTCTTACTGCCTCTGTGCCTCTGGTGAAACACATGTTGTTGCAACAACATCTTCTTCTCATCTTGACTATATAAGAACTTAATTCTCTAGCCTCTGAGTCCTAGCCTCCAGTCTCCAGCATCTGTGGAATGCTGCTCCTCATTTGCTCTCATGTATGGAAGAAGTACAACCAAATTTGTTCCCCTCCTAAACAGGTCTGTCTTCCTATTTGTTCTGGATCCAATTTCCTCTTTCTTGTTCTGAAAATGTCTTTCCAGTGTTGGTGGAAAAAGAGTACTGTCTTGCCATTTGGGACAGCATTTTTGTATCTCCTCTCCTTACTGAATCACCATGTGTTTTTCACGTCATCCAAAATGTATTCCTTGTCTGTCCCCCTTTTTTTCCCCCACTTTGAAGCCATTCTTTAACTCAACATTTGGGATACAGTGTGTAATTCACTATATGGAATCATGTTGTATTTCAGTCACCTTCTAAACTTAGTATTTATAAATACATTTCACCTTGGAAAACGTATCTTTTAGTCCATGTATGATTCACTCTAGAGTTGCTCTTACAGAGCTTGTCAGTAACATTTTTTACAGGGCTTATACTAGGGAGTCAAGTACAATGTGCACACCTTCTGAAAGGAAGAGTAATTTGGAGCTTTAGCACTTTCATAAAAATGGTAAATTGGCCGATCTTACTACTTTTCAGCATTAACTTGAGTGCTCTTTTCTAGTAATTTGAAACCAAGTAAGGCAGACAGTAAAGGGAAATTTTTATTATGCCCCAAGGCATTTTTATTTTTATTGGAAGTCATGCAAAACTTGTCAAGCCAAATTCTCTCCTCAGTTTGGTGGTGGTGGGGGGGAGAGTATGGTTAAATTATGCCTTGAATAGGCCTCTTCTCACCTGCTATTTGTATCTTGTACAAACGTGAAAAAGTGAAGAAATTTGATCGTTTAGTTTGCCACCAAAAGGAAAAATTTTAGTATTTCCCTTCCTTAAATTTTGGTAGCCCATGTAATACTTGTAGGATACAGAAGTTAGGGGAAAGTATTTTTTGAAGAATGCCTCCGTTTGCTTTCCTGTCTCCTCTCCATCATTCTTTTTTGAAGGGTGGGGAAAAGAATGAGCAAAGATTGTCAGCTGCAAGGAAAAGTTACCAGTTCTGGTCAGTTTTACATAACATTAGGCATAGGATGAGAAGTGCTCCTATTGAAAATTTTCATCTGGACTGTTTCTGTAGCAGTCAGAGGCAGCTGTGACAGAGATGTCAGCTTTGTGTTAAGGGGAGAAGTTGCCTATAAATACAGAGATAAATGGAAAAATAAAAGAAGTGCCCATTTGTAGTTTAAGGCTTACTGGGATAATACTTCACATAATATAGACGAATGAGGGTTAATATTTCAGAGGAATTTGTGAGTGAGGACCAAAATAGATGAGTTTTTGTTCTTGGTTGTTGGTTTTTAAAGACCTTTTTAATTAGGATTTTTAACTGTGATGGCAATGTTTCTCCCATTTACGAAGGAGCCAAATTAGAAAAATAAATGGAGCAACAAGTCTGGGAATTTTCTTTCAGTAGTTTTTTAATGAGTGTTTAAAGTTTTGCTGAATTAGGCCCTGCACTGTTGTGCATGTAGGCTGGCTTTATATACTGTGAGGAGTCCCACTGACGTCAGTGGGGCTACCCACCGCAAATAAGACTAAGCATGTACACACGTCTTTGCAGGATCCACGCCATTGATCTTGAAAAGTATCAGGGGTAGCCGTGTTAGTCTGTATCTACAAAAACAACAAGGAGTCTGGTGGCACCTTAAAGACTAACAGATTTATTTGGGCATAAGCTTTCGTGAGTAAAAACCTCACTTCTTCGGATGTTTTTACTCACGAAAG